TGGGTGGGGAAGCTGGGACATAGAAATTGGATAAGAAGCAATTTCAGAAAGCAAGGTATATTATCAATTGTGCCACCGCAGAAGTGAAAGCAGTTCTGTTGTCTGGCTGGGCAGCAGAGGGTAATAATGAGACATGAAATCTAATGTTTCTCTAACGGTGAATTGTATCCTCTGTCTGCCTTAGTAGTGTTCAGGTAAGGTCACAAATCAGTAACGAGGGACAACAGAAGCTTGATTTGGGTTTCCTTAAGGGCAGTGTGGGAGGGGTCCTGTCAGCCCAGCCAACATTCAGCTCCTGTGGTCTCCCCTTGGCAGTGACCTGCAGTATGTGTTTCCAGTGGAGGAGCAAAGTGTGCTAGGGCCTGGGAAGGCATCCCATTGGCTTCAGTACTCTGGGTCAGGGAGCTGCTGGACCTGAGGTGGCATGCATCCATTAATTTGTCCTGTTTCCTTTTGGTTTTAGAAGATCTTGTTTCTTTTTAACATGCAGTGCCATCTTGTGTGGAGTTTCACAGTTTAACTCTGCCCTGCATTGAATGGTACTTTGTTTAAAGTTCTGAACCCCTTTCAGCCGTTTTGTTTGACATAGCTCTGCTCTTTGTACTGGAAGGGATGGGTGACCTGTTCCCCACTGATGTGTTCAGTGCAACTTAGCAGCTACGCACGACAAGTTCATCCTGCAGCTGCCCCCTACCCCAGTCCATTGTGGCTTTTCCTGCAGAGCAGCCCTGCATAACTGCAGTTTTGGCAAATAAATTAATGTGTTCTGATGTGCTGGCTGAATGCAGTCCTGTGAGCAGCAAAAAACATGGAGCTTTGCCTTCCATTTGATAAGGGAATTTGAGAATAGACTTCAAGAGTGCTGAAAAAATATTCTTTTTTTTTGTTTGTTTGTATATTTGCAGCTCTGTTTTTGGTCAATACCTGCAAATTTTCAAATGGAATGTATGGAGTTGTAATCAGATATTAAACTAAAAAATCTGATCAGTTCTCCAGCTGGACTTTTATTTGCCTCATCTTAGCAGAGATAAATGTCCCTCACTTGCCAATCACACCTCATTCATGTCATTGCTTTTTGGCAGTCCATGCATTTGTGAAGATGAATTATCACAGATGACGTGCAGCAAGAATAAAATGTCATCAGAAATCTCTGTGCACCTCGAAAACTCAGTAAGAATAGCAGCCACCTCCATTGAGCCAGTCTGATGCATTAGTGTCACAAAAACAAGGTCACTTACCCCACTAGTTTCATTTTTGCTCCTGTCCTTCTTTAATCTTCTAATAAAAATGTAAAAAAAAAAAAAAAAAAAAAAAAAAAAGTTTTGTTACTTATACACTGGCTATTTTATATACAGACCAAGACAATTCCTCTTCACTCTGCAGTGGCCCAGGCGAGCCAGAAGGTTGGACACCCATGAGTTATGCTCAGCATCCCTCTCAGCTGTCAGTCTTACCAGTGGAAGCATCCTATCCTGGTTAATAACTCATTGTGTAAAAGCTCTTGTGCCATGTTTGCAGCATCTTGTCTCACTTCTTTCAACCTTTCCATATGGTTTTCTGTCCTTTGTGGCAAAGGATATGTTTTTGGTAAAGAGGAAAACTGGCACGTGGCGGTTTGCTGTGAATTTTACCCAGCATGTATGTAGTTGTCTTGCCTATTTTCCCAGGATAGTGTTCTGCTGTGCCATGCAGGGAGGGTTTGGAGGTGCCTGAGCTGATGCTAGGGATTGTTAATGTCAGTCTGGGCTTCTGCTCAGAGTGGTGGGAGCAAGGTGAGAGATTGTGGGTTAGATGTGAGGTTAGGATTGTTCATCCCTATGTAGATGGACTGAATGGCATCTGTCTGCAGTGTGTGTTCCTGCTAGGTCCTTCTGCAGCGCAGCGTCACCCCGCGTAGCAGCAGAACTCAGTCACTTGGCTACTTCCCAGCTTTTCTAGATCACTTAGAAATATTTTATTAAGAACAGGCTTCAACACGGATCCCCTTAGAGCTTCCTGGTCAGTCTCAGAAATAAGAACCAGCTTTCTCTCTTTACCAGTTTCTGATCCATGCAAATGCCTTCCCCCTTTATCACAGACTAGCTCAGTTTCTGCAAGAGCTTTAGATAGAGGGTGTTTCAAAGCAGCCCCTTTTCTAAAATCCTGGTGGGTTGCTCTGACTGGATCTTTCTCATCCATATAGTGAGCAGCTCCTTTAATTACCCATTGTGAAGAATCACTTAGCTGTGTGAAAACATACCTGCTCTTTCTGAAGGTGCCACACTTGTCTGTGCACCCTTTAATACTGTTCCTTTGAAACCATTTCTCTTACTGCAGGTAAATGGTAATGCAGCTGCTCGCACTGTGTCAGGGCCTTTCCCTAGGCTAGGGGAACATTTCTGAGTGTGTCCTCTCCTGTTTGGTCTTCAGATTTCCAAACTATTTTTCCGTGTTCCTGTATGTTACACCCCTGGTCTCTTCCTATTCTCTGCCATAGCTGGAGGTTATCCTGCTGTGCAGGTGAGTTTGTGCCTTTCTCATTACAATTTGCAGAGGAAGGCATTTCTTTTGCTGTGGCCCAGCAGTTCAAGCAGCACAGTTAAGGCATTTATGTCCTGGTGATGGTTACTGTGTGTGGCCAAAGCTTTCCCCATGGACAGAGTTCTGGTTTAACTGCTGGCTGGAACTAAATTCTATGGCATCCTTACAAACTTGGCTGATGAGAAGGGGTTTAATACCTGGAAGTAGATGCTGTGTGTTTCAGTGGTCTGACTAGAGTCTGGGAGGTGTTGCTAATACCTGGTGAGTGGCAGGGGAAAAGCCACCCAAAGCAAAGCCCTGCTTTGCTGCCGGGCTGTTCTGGAGGTGCGTTTCTGCTTCCCTCTGGGGACAGACGATGGGGTCTGCTCAAGTGATGGGTGCTTTGGAGGTGTTCGTGCTCTGAAGGATTGATCTGTGGGAAGCATGGAAGTCAGACACTGGAGCCCATCTGTAAATTATTTTCCTTTGAAGGTCTCAGCTATTCTGTATTTCCCACCCATATTTGTGTTTGCTCCTTTCAAGTAACACTGCAGAGAAGAACTGCATGCCTAGAAGTCACTTTGTAAATAAGATTGTGTTGCATAATAAGTTTTTATTTATTAAAAAGGCAACATCCGTAACTTTGGCAATAACCTTTGGAGTCACGTATCAGACTGCAGAGCAGCCACAGAGTTCTGGGATTCTGTCACAGTCAGCAGCTATTTTTGCTGTTATTTTTTGATTTCAGAGATGATAAATTGTGGGTTGCGCAGAATAGTTGGACAAGATACAGCTTATTGCATCCGGTCAGCTTACTTTGGTGCACTTACATTAGTGTGGCTGAAAATCTCTTGAGATTCAGTGTCTGTTACTCTGAAAGTGTCTATCTGGCTATTTGCATACCTTATTGGTGATTGAAATTGTCCAACGCAGCAGATTGGCATAGCCCACAAATTTATTGATGAAGGAGCTCTTTTGCATGTTGCTGTATGGACATTGAGGAATGCGGGGTGGATAATTTTATTATTTGAGAACTTAAGTTCCAATTGAGAATGGACATCCAGATTGTACCCATAGATGATGGGCAAAATTCACTTCTGTTCTCTGCATTTTGTTTTTCCTTTTTCTTCTGGGTCAGGTGGGCTTAAGCAAAGGGCTCTGAGTGGAGAGCACCCTGAATCCTGCAGAGCTCACGCTGCATCAATGCAGTACAGCCCTGACGAGGTTTTCTTTGTTGCCAGTAGAAATATCTAATAAATAAACAGTTTCCTTTTATAAATTAACAAATCTATTAGAATGATTTCTTATAGGCCTAAATATGTGCAAGTCATTATTCCCCATTAAGAAAAAAGATAATAATCAGCATTTAAAGGTCACTTATGTGGATTGCGGGAGGGGCAAGGAGAAGTTGCCAGAGCTCTGATGGTGGCCTGCTGGTGAACCATTAGGCAGCTGCTGGGAGAAGCACGAGGTGATTTTCATTGATTGAAGACTACAGTTGTGAATTCTTGGTGGGTGAGTTCTCCATTACTGCAGGGTGGGTCCAGTTGCTGCATTGCTTGGCTTTCTGGTTAGCTGCTGGCAGTCTGCACAAAGCAGCTCCAGGGATTCAGTGTCTTTGATACAAAAAGGCATTCAGGGTGGAGGTGAACTGCAGCACCATCATCACAGTGAGACATTTCAACTGCAGCTGAGCGCTTCTATTTCAAGGGGAGCATTCTCTTGCACTGGGAAAGGCTGGTGCTCACTGCAGGTTGTGGTCTCAGCCCTTGGGTTCCCAGCAGCGGCGCTGTGCTGTGTGCAGGTGCAGCTGGTCCGTGGGTGCTGGGCCTCTGTGCTTAGGGCAAAGGGCTTGTGTGGCTGCGTTATGGCTGTGCCTTTGTGAGTTCGTGTGGGCAGACATGGGAGTGGGGAATGAATCATGGCTTTTAAATTTGTGCTTAAAATTGAGTTAATTAAATTACCTTGGAAAATGTTTCAGAAGTTTAGTGTGGCAGTTCTTGAAAAATACAGATTCTGTTGTATTCTTCAGGGTATCCAGTTCAGCATCATAGTACGCATCAGTGTAGGATTTTCCTAGTATATTAGCTGCACAAATGTTAATTGCAGTGGTTGCAACTTGAAGGAAATTGATTACAGCACTTCGTTATTTTCTTTGAAGTTAGGACTGTGTGTTCTGATGCGTTGTGTAGAGTAAGAAGTGAGACAAGGAAGGTTTTGTGTCTAGTATGAATTTGGAGTTGGTGATTGAAATGATCGAGACTTGCTTGATGCAGAAGTCTGATAAAAAACGCAGCTTTTATGTCACTGCTGAGCTTAACTTGTGATAAGGGCTGAAATGAAGGTATGTGATGCGGAGAAGTTGGCTGACAGGTTTTCTGGGCAGCTGTGTAATAGCTATTTTTATGTAGGGAATGAGCTGAAGTGCTATGCTTAGAAGGAAAATTCACGCTCAGGTTCAACCCTCATATGTCTCTCTCTCTTTTTTCCCCACCCTTTAGTGATATGCAGCTTCCGAGGAGCTGTGCCGCAAGGCTTGGTCCTGGAGCTGGGGGAGACTGTGCAGATCCTGGAGAAATGTGAAGGTAAGTGTGGTGCCTAGGAGGCAATCCTATTTGCTATGTAAGAATGTAAAAATATTTTAATACGGCAGATTTTAGTACGTTGCTCAGGAATAATAATGCATCAAATCAAAGCACTTGGATAAAGAACTAGCCTGACCCACTTTTTGTAGGAAAGGCTGAGTGCTTCTGGCACTAATCCAGTCTGATAGGGGGTCAGTGTGTTTTAAGTTAACCATCTGTCCAGAAAATCTTGAACCCTGACCTGATTGTTGTGTTGTAATTGGGTCTTGCAAGAAATTTTCATCACAAAGTGTAGTCTGTGGTTTTTTTTAGCCGTATTTTCTAAATGTTGCTGTTACGTGTTTCAATGAAGCGTACCGACGTTTATTGCTTAGGAGTATCTGAACACACAAAAAACATTAGGTGTGAAATAGAGGGATGCAATTTAGTAGCAGTACTGGAAATAAACTAGAGAATAGAGATTTAGAGAGAAGAGCATGCTTTGTCCCACGTTTTGTTCCTGAAGGAGAATGCCACTGTTGACATTACAGCTATAACTACGGTTCTTGTGTGTGAATAAACTGCACTTCCCAATCCCTTGCTTGTATTCCTGGGGCTAATCTGGCTGAAGTTGTTGCATTTAAAAGAGAACGCTTTTTATCCTAACATTCAGAGTAAGCAAGTGGTATAAAACATATTTATTGAGAGAGAGGCTGACAATGTACAGTATGGGGATGTTTCTCTGTAGTCTCAGATTGAATGATATAACCTTAGTCCTGAAGCATTTAAAAACAAATTCAGAACCCAGATTCACAAATCTGAATTCCAAATTCACATTCCACAAAACTGTGGTTTTGTTTTTGTGTTTGTTCAGTTTACTTTCCTATTTCATCTTCAGTGCTAGAGCACCTATATAAACCTCCTGCCTGGTTGTCAGATGACTGCTTTTTTTTTTTTTCTCTCATGCCTAAAACTGTCTTTTGCTCTTGAGGTTTTCCTCATGCATTCAGGGGTTTTGTTTGTTTAGCTGCTGAGTGAGCTCTTCTGTGAAAAAGTAAGCGAATATTTGTGAGTCTTAGGAAAGTGGTGGCTTCCTCACCTATGCCTATAAAGCTTTGAATGAGTTTTGCAGTTCAGTGTTGATGCTTAATCCATGGAGAAGCATGTTGTAAACAATACATCTGGTTTGCACATGCAAATTGATAATATTTTATTTAAAAACAGAGTGGTGCAATGGGCCAAGCTTTGTTCAGACAGTGGTGTTGATTGCGGTTGCTTTACCAGGTCTTGTGAACACCGCAAGCTCAGGAAAAGATACTTGAAAAGAATAGTAAAACTCTAAGGGAAAACAGTGATATTGTTGAAAGCAGGCATGATGTTTTCAAACAATTTCCCCTAAACTTCCAAAATTGTGGGAAAACTTCCAAAACTGAGGGAAAAAAAGGTATCCAAAGGAGCAGCTTGCTTACAGGAAAGCAAAAGGATAATCCAGTCCATCTCTTCACGGTGTTACAGTAATTGGGCTCTGTGTTTTTTCTTTGCCAGCAATTTTGAAGACAGTTCCTCAAAGGCAGTGTCAGTCTTCAGATCGTTGTGGAAGGAAAGACCCTGTGTATGGTAGTATGCATTCTGCTGTGTGGAGGAGGCTTTAGTGCACCTGTGTTGTTTGTTTTTTAAGCATGCTATCCTGTCTTTTTTTTTTTTTCCTCTCCTTCAAGGAGCTTTTGGCACGGACTTTATATACCTAAGAAAGATATGTTAATTTTGCTACATCTGGAACTGCACAACATGGAACTCCTCTATCATTTCAGTAATGCCATCCCTGAGCATCAGCAAACACTTCTGGGCTGTGCAAGGACTGAGTATGGGTTTCCCATGGAGGCTGTGAGTCCCTCAGAGCTATGGGCACAGGGCTAGACAGCTTCTCTGGGCAGCCCTGTGGAGTGTGGGTGGCACCAAGTGAGCTCTGGAACCCCCAGTCAGCCTGAGCCACTGCTTAACAGCATCCTTGGTTAGAGTGAATTGTACTAGTTCTTATGCTCTGCATTAATTGCTGGGGATTCTTTTGAACGGAGTGGGTAAATTGATGTTAACTCATGCAAATGAGTGTTGAAAAGATTGACATGCACACAGGTATGCTAGTGACATGGAGAAGGATTTCTGAGGCTTGCTGAAGAGTTCCAGCATAGATAAAAAGCAGTGTTACCTGTGCTTCTGAACATATGTATTTCTAATGATAATGAGCTACTGAATAACTGTTACAGCAAGGACTATGTCATAGCGACTGGTGTAGAAAGCAGTTGTTGCATTTTGAACACACTAAATAGAAGAGAGAATTTCCTATGTTCTTGTGTAGCTCTGCAGCTGAGCCTTGTGTGTATTTGCAGGGCAGAGGAACAGATGTGCTCGCATGCGCACACATACGGGTCTGTATGTGTGTATGTGCATGCATGTGTGTGCAGTGGAGTTTAAGGCTAATAACACTGACAGTAATGAATGTTAACTGATAACACACGAGCAAATCCTTTCTTTTACATTGTAGTTGTGTGACTTTTTAAGAACTGCATGGTTTAATTTCTGTGTTAGTAGCAGTGTTGATAAGCCCTATGTGTAATGTAGTTAGCATCCAGCAGTGACAGTGTGGCCAAATGAAGGCTTTTGGTGTGTGGGACACCTGCGAGTTAGCATTGGTTGGTTTGTTTTGCAGTTCTGAGAACTCTGTGCCTGAGAGCGGTGTCTGTGCTATGCTTCCAAGCCTCCAGTGAGATGGCCGTTTTCCTCTGCCTTTTGTTTGTCTGGGGAGCAGAATTCACCTGGACCCACACAGCTGCTATGGAAAATATTGCCTGACTACTTTGAAGAGCAGGGATGGCTTCTGGATGGCTGCCGCTGTGGCTGAGGCCAAGATGAAATGCTGACATCCAGCTGTGCTGCTGTGGCCCTGCTGTCACAGGCTGGGTGGGAGTTGGGAGCTGCTCCATCTGTCACAGCAGGCTGCTCTGGGCAGCGGGTGCCTTTGGTCAGGCAGCTCTCACTGCTCATTGCTGCCAGCCCTCCTCTAGGTCACTGCATAGTGCGAGGTGCACACAGCCTGCAAGCAGCTTACGTGCAGATTAACTGGTAGCAGCAACTATTGATTGACCAGCGTGTACAAAAGGTAGCTGTCCTGCAGGTCCGGGGGTTACTCATAAGGCTGGAAAGACTTATTCGTCTAAAATTCAGAATAAGAAGCTAAGATGCATTTATGTATTAAATACGTAATCTACTAGATCTATAAGATCCACAGTATGCATAATTTAATTATAATTTCATAATGGAATGAAAGCTAAACACAGTTCAAGTGCTAGTTATCAGCTGTACAGCCATCACAGTGCTAGCTACCAAGCAATTTCATAATCTGATTGTTAAATGTAATAATCAAATTAAGTATTCAAGAAAATAGTTATCCTGTCATAATAGAGTATTTTTTGTACAGTTGTTGTAAAGAAATCAGTTTTTTTTTCAAGTAAATTCTTATTTTGAGGTTTAAGAGGACGGGCATAAGGTGATGCTGGAGGTTTTTGTGTAGCTGAAAGGGAACTGCAGGAAGTCACAACATTGCCTTTCTGATATTGTGCCCTCATAGCTCGAAGTTGTGCTCATTGAAGCGTTCTTTTTTCTTAAACACAGAATTCTGAGTAGACTATTAAAGAGGCTATTCTGCCTTTTAAAGAAGAAATGTGTTGGGATTGATAACTTGGAAAAATTACTGAAGTAGTTAGGTGGTGGAGCAGCACACTGTAACTAAACAAGCTGCAGCATTTGCATCTCAGTTTCTGAGTATTTTTCAGACCATGAAATTGTGTTTTCACATTTAGCTTTCCTAGGACAGGTGCCTACCTCCAAGTGTGTGCAACTCTTACTTTGTTTTGTGGATTTATTTCTTGGAAATCCGTTCCTGCCTCCCACTACTTCCAGTAGTTTCTCAGAGAAGAACAATTGCTCCAACAGTTTGCTTTTCTTGCAGTTATGGAGATAGTGAAGGAAACCTGCCCGTGGCAAATGGCTCCTCAGCCTAAGCTGTCTTTGGAGACCAGCTGTTTTTTAGCATGGTAGCTGCTCCCTTTTGCGTGTGATTTCTGCAAATTTAAAGTCAGGTCTCCCTTTGAAGAAAGCTCAGAACCACTGATGAGCACTGAGCTGTAGTGAAGGGAGTAGATGGGTCTTATCTGGGTCTGACTTTCCTTTGTTGTGCCCCTTTGTTGGTATTTTCCGGTTAACAAGTGGTGCATCTGTTCAATTCCTTGTGCTCATTTGCATGTTTTAATTGTAGTAATTGCAGTGTGAGACTTTCATTTTTCCTTGCTTAAGTTTGAGGGTGGTTTTCCTAATATCATGGCATCTCTATGTTTTGGAAAATTTTAGCTAAAAGCTTTCAGCGTTTTATCCTAAAATTGAGGGCTTCAGTGGTTTCACAAAACGTCTTTTTTTCTGGACTTGTCTCCTCAACAGAGATAAACAAGATCAGATGAAAGGCACTATCCAGTACTTATCAATCCTTTTGAAGCTGTGCAATTAGTAGAATAAAAGGCTGCTTCCTAACTTAAACAAGTCGATAAATCCCAACAGCTTGTCATCCCCACAGATTAAATTGTGGTTTGTTTTCATTGGATGCTTATGATCTGGAATCATGAAGTACAGCTTCTGGCCAAAAATTACAAAGATTTAGCAGAGAAGCCTAATAATGCAGTATATGCTTACCAGATTTTTAGTGGAACTGTATGTGGTAATATACTTTAACCAACTGTTTTGCATTCTGCCACGCTGATGGTATCTGTACAGTGCATAACACGTTGATATAATCCCTGTGGGGTTCAAAGTTTCGTTTCTTCAATTATCACCTGACACGTGGAGCTCCTGCCCTGTAGGCGGTGGTACCACTGCACGTTGCTGACCCCAGCTGGGAAGCATGTGTGCTTGTGTCCAGCTGCTGTGGTGCCTGTGGCTCTACGGGATGGCATGTTGCTGAGACTGTATGTTAGCTGTCCGTGTTCTCAGGCAGCATTATAAAATGCGTCCTGTGACCACTGTGGCGTGTGATCTAGTAGCAAACTGTGATGTGTTTTATTGGCATTGGGACCCAACAGAGCTTATGATGCAAAAACCATTTTGTCTTTGTCACTCATTGCTGCATCTGATCAGACAGCTCATTTCTCTAATGCCAGGCTGCTGCCAGTTGGAGAGCGTGAAGGAGGACCTGAGTGCGGGCTTCACCTGCAGCACTGGCAGCAGCTTGTGCTGTGTGTTGCTCTTCTTTCAGTGACACAAATCAGTGTAGTTCTGTAGCAGTGTACAACGCTGCTTTCCATCAGCAGGTGAGGGGTGAGAGCAGCTATGTTGGGCACTTGTGTGATGTCCAGGCTTGTTATGCTGGGTGTGGAGTTTGTTAGTTTGCAAAGTGTTCTGATCACTTCAGGCAAACATGGTTGTTTCAGACTGGTGAATGTTAAAGACATGCATCCTGGGCCTTGCTTTGTACAAATGCTAGTCTTTCTGTTCTGAATGCAAGATCAGGAAGCTTTTGATAGGTGGAAGTAAAAGACAGGCTTTTCCTAAGTGCTCCTCTGCTCAGGGTTGTCTCCAGTGTAAAACAGGCAGTGGTTCCATCTCTAGTTAGCCCCAAAAGCAGTTGTGATTTGTTTCCTGGGGCAGGGAGCCGGGCTCCCGTTGCTCACAGATGCTCCTGCAAACCTGAACTCTCCCATTCTCAGCCTCTCCTGGCAGCTTTGGACATGTTTCCTTAGAGCTGTAAGCAGGGAAGATGTTTGAAGAAAGAAGTTATCTCTGGAGTTTGTTTTTCTTACGCTCTGAAGGCAGTGCTACTTTACTCATCCTCACTATTTGAGCTTTTTTTTTTTCCCCCCTGAAAAACAGATGCGTATCATGTTGGAATCCTTTTTCTGCTCTTGGGTACTGGAAAGGGACCGGCTTTTTCCATTCAACAGACTTCTTGCTGTTTAGCTGGAGATCTGAAAAGGGTTGTGAGGTGACTATCAGAAGGAATATTGTTTTGTTCAATCCATTGTCAAGGAAGGATCAAAAACCATTGGTAACTCTTCTTATCTCTCAGCTGATAACATTGAGTTGAGCACATCTGCTCAGTCTATTCTGAGTCCTTTGAATTAGAACTGCACTATTGCTGTGACTTCTGAGTGAGAAACATTTTTGTGAAAACTGCTTTTCAGTCCTTTTCTATGAATATGCAGGTTTCTGAAATTCCTGCGCTGTGAATTTCTATATGGACGTGTCCTTGTTCTATCCTCCTTCAGAGGTTTGGCTGAATTGCAGGTTCGGAGGAGCTGAGCAGAGCATAATGCTTCTTATGGCTGGAAAAGCCCTGCAGGCAAAGGGAAGAGCAGTGATTTGCACGTGCTACCAAGTGCATTCTTCTTTAGCTTTTATTACCGCCTCCAGGTCACCTACATTGTGACTGTACATGCAGGCAGTGAGGTTTGCAATAAACTTTATAACCAAATAAAGGTCTCAGTGTGCAGGTGGAATGGCATCATGGTGTGCTTTTCCTGTTATTTTTTTTTCCCGTTTTATTATCATACAAGTGGTTCTTCCTGCAGCTCTTGGAGGGAGTTTCTGCTACATGCAGAGGGCAGAGCTGCAGAGCAGCCTACTTTTCACTTTTCTTTTTATCACACATCGTTTCATTGTATTGAGAAAATCAGTTATAAAGCACCATTTTTTTTCCCTGACTTTGATATTTCTCCTTCAAAATGCTACATGTAAGCTTTAGTTCGGGTGCTCTGCTTCCTTTATCTCCAGCACTGTGTGGCCTGGTGTAGCAGAGTCTGTAGAAAAGCAAAGATGGAACAGGACTTTAAGATACAGCAGCTAGTCCAGAGCACAGCGCTGTGGGTATATGATCCATTCTGTTTTCTTGGCAGCACTTGAGTTCAGCTTTGTGCATACTGAGAACTAACAGCTCGAGGTGTTTATAATCAGTTTGGTTAAGAAACTGGGGAATTCCTGCACCAACACTTTGTTGGGGTGACAGAGTGGGGAAGAAAGGAAGCACCAGTGCTGTGCAAGTGTTGCTCTATTCTCAGCGCGGTTTTAGCCACCAATCCAGAGTGTAGCACCATGCACGCTGCTGTGAACGGTGTTGCCTGCATCCAAGCCCCACACCCTGTACAGGGCTTCATTCATTCAAAACCAGTTGGAGTGACCTGCTTGCTTTTCCCTGGGCCGGCCACTGAGTCAGGCAGCTTGAGTCTGTTTTGAGCTGCTGGAAAAGAAGATGGGGAAGCAGTGTGTCTGTCCATGAAGCACAGCCTTTCTCTGTAGAAAACCTACATCCTTTAACTCAGGTGTTACGTGCTAATGTCATCTGTCCTCAGATTTCATGGTTAAACTGGATGGTGTTTTTAGAGCTTTTTAATTTTTTTTCCAGATGAACCCTTGTGCTGCAGTGACATTAATTCCACCTGTGTAAAATGGAAGTAATTGGGTTCTTCTGTTTGACTGGTAGCTTTGGCTCTTACTCTTGATGTATTGTCCTGTCTGGGGCTGTTATCTGATGGGGGATGCAAGAACAGTAATTGGATTTGTGAAATGAGATCCTGAAGTCTTTTCTCCAGGCATGCATAAGACCAGACACATCTGAAGGATTTATATTTGTTTAAACAATGTTAGAAATGTACGGTAATGGCTTTTCCTGTCTGTAAAAGAGCAGGTTTTTGGAGCCTGCGTTTTTCATGAAGGTAAATACTAGGAGGAGACTCCTGTGCCAGTACATGGGAAAAACAATGGCAGTTTGTGCACTGAGCACATCTTTAGGAGTAGCTGATGATTGTTAGTGAAGTGACCAGGTAATACTAAGCTGCTTTTATTCCTGATGGAAGAAATAGGAGCATTCCACGTCCCTAATTGCTTGTTGTTGTTGCAGAGCCAAACAGAAAAACATCTTAAAGTCTGACCTGTGGTTTGAGGGTGGTTTTTGAGATGATCTCAGTGATTGCGTTGTTTCTGGTCAGCTTGCTTCTCTGTAACATAAACAATGCCAGAATGTAATGTAAGGTGTTTTCTCTGGTTTTAGGGTGGTACAGAGGTGTTTCCATTAAGAAGCCCAATGTGAAGGTAAGTCTTTCAATGTACTGGTAGAGTGTCTCTGCTTTGCTGTTGCAACCATATAAACTGTTACCTTACCCAAGGTTGTGCTTACCTTTCACTTCTCCATGTGATGAGATTAGATTTATTTCCTAGATGTAGAGAACAGTATTTTTTTTTTTTATTTGTTACCCCCCAAAATCAGGAATCTTCCCAGTATGTACCATTAAATCTTTCAAATACCTGTAAGTCTCATCCAGTTGGATCATTTCCACATGACTCCTCCTAGAGGGAGGCTGATCTTATGCTGCTTAATGAAGCTCATTTAATTATTTGCGTTGTCAGTTTAGGGTAATTATGGAAAAGTGTCTGATGAAGAAGGGTGCTTTGTTTCAGACTTTTACCATTTAACTACTGCATTTGGTTATTTTCCAGTTATACCCATTTTGTTTCTTGAACTTTTTTGGCTGTCCTGATGAGTGCATGTGTATTTACGTAAATGTATGTGTCAGGGCACATAAATAGTTTTCTCCTTCATTGGCTTCTGGTATAAATACAGCTTGTATTTAAAAAGAAAAGAGCATCGGATTCCTCATGTTTCAGACTACTTTTTTTCCTCTTGTTACTGGAAATGTTTGCATGATTGAAGTTCTCTCCATGGAACACTGTGCTTGTTGTGCTCTCCATGTGCTTGTTTTGTGTGCACTGCTACCTCTTCTGCTTGAGTATCTGCTCAGTTTTGGTCCGAGAGCCCTTCAAACCTTCCTTGGTTTCTTAGGTAACAGCACAGGATCACAGAAGTACAAAGCATGGATAGGAAGGAACCAGACAAGAAACTGAAGTAGCATTTTTTCCCCCCAGATTTTTGGAGGGCTGAAAGCATTTACTGCTTTTTCTCATTAAGCTGTTATTGTTTGCTTTAATTCTGCAGTGTCCATCTCGCCTATCAAAAGGGAGGATTTTTCCTTAACGTTTTGAATACAATTTTCTTAATATTCCTTTCAAAACCCTCATCATGCTGAAAAAATGTCTTCCTGGATTATTACACAGTGTTGTTCTAAAAATGTAAAGCTCACATTTGATTACGGAAATGATTGTGAATGGCTGACTGCTGTTCTTCACCTGCAGATTAATGGTGCTGATGTAGTTTTCCCACTGGGGTGCATGTCCTTACAAACCAGCTGAGGCTGCTCCGAGCATTTGGGGCTTTGGTTTTTTTTTTCTTTTTTTTACAGAGATGATGGAGTACAATGACGATTTTGGTTTAAATTATCCATTTTCTCTGTTTCATCTCATGAGAGCTTGATAAACTTGATAGCACAGGCAGAGTTAGAGCCCATCTGTCGTGGGAGCAGCAAAAGGCAAACACCTGGAGCTGTGCTGGGTGGGCTTGGGCAGTTCTTTGCTAGGAGGAGGATAGCCTGGGGTATGCAGGTAATGGAATACTTGTTTGCTCAGTGAGAGACTGGGATAAGGACTAAACACAAATTGGATGGTGGATGTTTTCTTTTGTTGCTTTTTTTTTTTTTTTTTTTTTAAGTCTAGGCCCTTTTCTCTTAAGGTAATGTGGCATGCTGAAGGGAAGGCCTGGAAGTGGGGCTGATGTCATGCTGGGAGCTGCACAACAGGCACTGGTGCTGGCTAGCTTACATCTCTGCAGTCAGTGTCCCTGGTTGTTACTGCTCTTCCTCCTTCCTTCTGCTGACTGCAAGCTGCTCATTCCTCAGAGTTCTTTCTACTTGTCACACCTCATGTCTGCTTGCTCATTACCTGTTAGCATGCTGCTGGGCTCGCATGCTTTTTGCAGCATGAAGAAAATTTGCTAAATGTAGATCCCTTATTTTGATCCCTTGTCCATTCCTTGTCCATTCCAAGGCAACAGCGTGTAGGCTTAGCATGAGACTTCTCATTTGGTCATAGTTGCCTTACCCACTGTTTTTATGCCAGAGGACATTTCACGTGGAACAGTGCTTCTGAACACTTTGGAAGCTTTGTGGGATGAAAATTACTTGTCCAGTTTGAATGTTGACTTGAGTCTGTGGCAGTGTTTTTGACACAGTGATGGGGGAGGATGTTAATGTGTATACTGGCAATTGCATGCATATATAAATAATGGTACAAATGTATTAATGCTGCAAACTGCAAGTGTTGCCTTTCTAACTTACAGGCTTTTCTCTCTTGCAGGGGATTTTTCCTGCAAACTATATTCACTTGAAAAAGGCAGTTGTCAGTAACAGAGGGTGAGTGGTTTTCCTTCTTTTAAGAAACTGCAGTTTCTCTTTTAGAAGGGAATCTAAGAAATTGTTACTAAAATGTATAGTGCTTTTTGTACACTGTAGTTTGTGTTTATAATGTCCTGAAATTGAAACATTATTCCGCAGAGCTGTGTTATAAATTCCTTGATTTTCTTCTTGTTTTTAACACAGCAGGAAGCAGTTCTGTTATTTACTCCTGCTCCCTTTTCATAAAATCAATACTTCAGAGGTGCTGCCTGATATGCGCCTATTGTAAAGAATTCTATTTATATTTTTAATTTCTTGTTGCTCCTCACTGGCAGAATTCTATATTCCATTCTGTTTGTTAGGGAGGCACTGGCACGTAGGCAGCTGATGTCATTTCTGAACAGATTTTCGTCCTTATGTAGCTGACAAGGTAACTGTGTTACTTTGGAACTTTTCAAGAACATCCAACCCCCATACCTCAGCCCAAAGAATGACTCAGGTGTGCTCTGCTGAATTGTCTTTTACCTTCAGGGCAGCAGAAGGGCTGATTAGGCATAGGGTTAGTTTAGTCAGTGTGAATAGCAGAGCTGATGACGTGATGGCAGAGTTCTTAGCGCAGTTTCCAGCGAGGTTAACTGATGCTCCTGCATGCTCAGAGCTGCTCTTATCTACATTTTCTACATTAGGACTGTTGTGAGGAGAATTAGAGGTGCAGCATTTCAGATGGTCGCCCCAAGTGGAAGATGAAACGGGGAAGATAAAACTAAAAGATGGCATTTAGTGAAGTTCCTGCAGAAAAAGGTGTGACTTCTGATGGTCTTGCATTGTGTGGTTAATTCTCAAATGGGCTGATTAAACCTTTTAAGGGCAGCAGTAGTACTGATGCTTCATAACTTAAGAGTGTAGTGAAACACATAGCTTGTGTGCAGTGACTGCTCCTGATGTGTACTCTCCTTGTGGGAAAGAAGAGTTTCCCACAATTTATCAAATTACTAGTGGTTGAAGTTAATTCACAGTTTGTGAAGGGCAACCAACTCAGGATATTTGCATTCTCAGTAGGGCAATTTTATTTTTTAAAACTAAGTATCTGAAGATTGGTTTACAATACAGCAGAACATAGTTGGAAAATAATCTGATTCTGACTCAGAGATCGTAGTCGTTAGTCATGCATTGGTAAAAAAAGAAATGAATACAATTCTGCCCTGTATTTAAGACTACATTCCAAGAACTAGTATGAACATTTGTATAATAATAAAGCATACTATAATATATATATTAAATTAAAAAAAAATATATATAATAAATACTATTATATATATAATAAAGCATACTACTTTTAAGTGTTGTGCTTCAGATCACAAGCATATTCTGTAGAGATGTGTTAAAACATGAATAGAGATTTCCTAGTCTTTCACTTTGTCCACATATGAAGAAGTGCAGCTGTGGAGTAGGGCACAATCTCAGATGCTAGGTGTTAGGTTTTGAATGGGAAGGGTGAAGTCATTGGCATAATTATAGAAAAATCTGTCTTGCTGTCCTGGGGCTTTCCAGTCCCAGCTTTAATGGGTTGAATGCATACCTAATATGGCCTCAGCAGGTTTCTAAGATATCAAATATATATATTTTGAAATAATACAAGATTTACTTACGTCATTAATGTGAATGTGTTTTTAGTAGCTTGGAAATGAAGTATTGGAACTTAGTTCTCTACTCCAGAGATACCCAGTAACGTACGGTGACTAAAAATCGTAGAATCATGGATTAACTTAATTTAGAAAAGACCTTTTAGGTCACTGAATCTAGCCACCAACCTGAACTACCAAATCTTGGCACTAAACCTTATCCCTTAGCACCATGTCCACGCATCTCTTAAATACCTTCAGGCATGAGGAATGCACTGCTGCCCTTGTCAGCCCATTCCAGTGCTTGACCACCTTCCCTGTGCAGATGTTATTCCTAACATCCAATCCAAACCTACCCTGGCACAATGTGGGCTGTTGAATTCATCCTGCTTACCACTAACTGTCTGTAATATCACTCAACATGAAGGGCAAGTCAGGTACTCCTGGCTCAGATAGCATATTGTATAATAATATTTATGTTAATTATCACATTTGTAGATCTTAGTGTAATGAAAGAAGGGAGTGCAGTGCTTCTCCTCTGATTGGTAAAGAAGACCTTGGCTGTGAAGGGATGAGTTCTGTTATTTTGGTTAGAGGATGGCCTGGTTGGGTTCCCCTGAAATCCAGTAGTGAAGAAGCCTTCTGGCTGGGGAAGGCTGTAAATGGTAGATCTTCTGGGTGTTTGATGTACTGGCAGGGTGTCATATGAGGGAGGAAAGGGTCGGACTGGATTAGACAGAACACAAGTGGAAGGGCCCCACTTATAGACAGAGTAATTTAACGTGCTATAATAACGAGAAGTGTTTTCACTGACCTCAATTAGAATGATTTGAATATTGAACACATAAGTAGAAAATGCTTCATGAAAGCAAACTTTTGGGAATGTCATGGAGGAACAATTGATAGGAGACTGGAGTTGCTTGAGTGTTACAACAGGCAAGATGTTGCTCTTAAAACGTTTTTCTTTAGGTTGAGAGCTCATTTTTCTTTAGGTTGAGAGTGTTCTACAAATGACTGTGCTGGTACTTATTTCCTTATACCTTTTCCAGAGTACCTCTCCTAATTTTTGTCCTCTTCTTGTCTAGGCAATATGAAACAGTTGTGCCACTTGAAGATTCTGTTGTGACTGAGGTCACAGCAACACTACAGGAATGGGCTGTGCTCTGGAAACAGCTGTATGTGGTAAGAACTCTTCTCATTGCATAGCATTTTTCAAATACCTCGAATGAGAGCTATGTTGCATGCTTCCCAGCCCATTAGGAAAAAAACATGAAATACAAATTTTTAGATTTCCTTTTTGTCTGGTGGGGGGAGTGGCTAACTGTAGAAGCCCTGGTAATGTGAGATTCACATTGGAAACTTCGGCAGTTTTGAAATTTTGCCTTCAAATCCCAAACCTTCCTTGTTTAAATTGATAAGAAATTCTTAAGAAATGTTCTTAAGAAATGCGTTTAGTAACACCAAAATGGAAGACCTCTGCAAGTCCCCTCAAAGAATTACTCAGCACAGATTGTATTTGTTTTGGTGTCTGGGGTTTAATAGACGAAGAACTCAAACAGAAGCCTTTCCATATTGTTGTTCCTTCCAATATTAAAAGTGAAATAAAAATAAACACTCTTACTCATAATTTTCAGTTGCTGACAGACAATGTCACCTAGCTCTGCTTTCATTATAATCCTACTATATTTTTTTTAATGGCCAAATCCTATAGAACGGCAAATAAGAAACCTGCATACTTGAAAATATTTTTTTCCGTTTTATTTATTTACAGTTTTTTTTCTTAATAATTATAAGCTGTAACTATCGAGTTAGGACCAAGAACTGTAGGTAGTTGATGTATGAAATTCTTTTCTTTAGAGAAATACCTCTATGTAAACCTTGCTTAAGTTAAGCCTGAAGTGCTGTTAGTGAGATACTTGGGAAATGTAGGCAGAAAAGATGGGTCCAGTGTAGCACAATGAGCCTCATTCCTTTCTCCCTTCAAAAAGCAATCAAGTCTATTATGAAATCAGCTTTCCTTGTGTTGCTTCCAATTCTTCTCTGATGGCACATGCAATATACAATCTTCTTAGTACTGCTGTTACATCATCTAGCACTCCTTGTTTTTTCCATTCCAGATACTCTGTTGCTGTATGTTTCTATAAGGTAGATTTTTCTCTCTCCCCAGTGTCTTATGAAGAAGGCAACAGTAGTATGGCAATAGTATTGCGGCTGTGAAAGGAGAATTATTTTACTTAGAAATGAGTTGAACTTCCATTCTACTAATCTGTTTCTTTTTGATTGTTATAGCTACGTTTTGAGGAGAGGGAGTAAGAAAGCTCTAGCTATAAACTTCAATGTTTCTATTTCTGGGACTGCTTTCTATTCTAGCTCATTACACACAATGTTATTGTATTCTTAAATAACAGGGGAAAAGATTTACTGGTTTCATGTAATTTGGGAAGCAGGCGTCAGCTTCAAAAAAGAAGTTGGCAAAGCTTCAGAGTGGGGGGAAAAATATTTTGCTTTTTCCCTCTGGAGTACTACAAAAAATAGTATAGAAATGATGACAAAATCATTTAGGTTAGAAGGGACCTCCTCATGCCGTCCCACTGGCTGCTCGCATAGGGTCAGGCAGAGCAGGTTGCCCACAATGGGGTCCTGTCAGGTTTTGATCCTCTTTGTGACAGAGACTCTAGCACTTCTCTGGGCATTGCCATCGGTGTTTGACCACCTTCACAATAAGAAGTAATGTTTTCTTATGTTCAGCACTGCTGATGTGGCAGTGTAGCTTTCCTGACATGAAGGAACAGTCTCTGCTGTTGTTAGGGGGGTGACCGAAACGTGTCCTATTCAGAAACTGTCCTGAAGGCTGTGGAGTTGTAGAGGATGCACAAATGGATGTGGCAGTGCGGGTGTGCTGTTTGGTTAGAAATTGAACAGTAAGGTCACATGGTGAAGTGTGTTAAAGAGACTAAAGAGAAATACTTGTTTAGTGTTGGGTCAGCATCAGCAGAAATTTTTATTAAACCCGCGTTGAAATATGAATCATTTAAGAAATCTAATTAGTGTTATTCATCATGCTGCTGTGCCTTGTCAGCTTAGTAGAAAAGTTCTAAGGTGTAGAGAAAGTTAAAATGCTGGTTGGTAGCGCAGATGTTTTCAGTAGGTCAGTACCTATAAATGGCAGCAGTGGGCACCTCTGCAGTGCAGTACTGCTACGTAACAGACAGCTGCCAAACAACATGCAGAGCATCTCTTTGTAGCTCTGGATGGGCTGAGCTGTTCATCTTGTGCTTTGGCAGGCTTCATGCTTGAATTATGGTTTGGAGGACGAGTTTATTTCAGTACAAAATTCCAAAAACCTTCTTTGGTCTTGCAGTTGGGGTGCGTTGTAAGGTTTCTGCCTGCCTCTCAAATAACAGACTTGGGAATTGCAGTGTCTAGGAAGCCTGGAGCAACTGCCTGAAAAGAGGTGCTCTGCGGTTCCAAGACAAAAGAGCTGAGCTGAAAGAAGCTGGGGGAAGAGGAGAAAGCTAACGAAGGGGAAAGTAAAGTAAAGCTCAGGTTTGAGAAACCATTGTAGAAAATCAAGTCTCATAAAGCCTTCCTCACATCTCTCTGACCACAGAGTCCACGCTCTTACCAGGAAGAAATTCTGGGAAAGCTCAAATAGCTTTCAGTTAGGAGCTGTGCAGTACTTCTGGTTTGCAGACTATAAAATATGTATTGGAAAGATGGGCCTGAGTACCACACAGTGTTGTGATAGTCTTACAGTTTCTGCTGTCAATGTGAAAGCTGAATAATCGTGTTACTAAAACTAGAAGCTGAGACTGTAGAGAAAAAGGCATTTATGTGCAATGAGTTCTTAAGGGAAGGTTGTGCTTAGAAAGAATTTGAAGCAAGACGGTGTATGGTGGCGTTCTCTGTGCTTTGTAGTATCGTAATCCAATTACTCAGAGCATCTGTCTATAAGTGCTAAAAAAGCAATATGATTTCTGAAAATACAGGAGATTTCTCTCCATCTGGAAAGGTATAGAGATATTTATATGCTATAAAAGCCAGGAGAAAATTTTTTCAAGGTCTTTAGTAATTTATACTGAATGTTTTTTGTAACAGTAGTGGTAATCTGGTTAAAAAACTGTATGCTCATCTAACAGTACTTGGGATAATCTGTAATAGATAGTAAATATTTAATATTTCTAAAAGTAAATGCTTGTTTAGTTTTGAGATTAAACAAAAAAAAAACATTTCTTTTTTTCTGTTTGAATAAGTAGTCTGAGTGCAGATGTCGTGTCCTGGTAGTGGAAAAGAAAGTTTTCCTTCTGACGTGTGTGTCTGCGGGGTTTGCAGATGAGCATGGGATCAATAGGTGTTGGTAACTTCTTTCTGTCCTGAAGGTCACCGTTCTGTGTCACATACTGACATTGGAGTTTTCTACTTCCACTGCTGTTATGTGAAGTTTCTGGGGAGGAGTTAACAAGTACTAAATGTTTTAACTGCATGCTATGTAAACTTTGTTTACTGTGTGGCTTATAACATGGGTAGAGTTTCTGATAACAGATGCCCAAATGTGCATGTGAGCATATGTGTATATTGTCACTGCATATCACACTGCTTTTATCTGGCGTTGTTCTTTAGCCTGGCTCATAAACTCTGAGTTCTTGGAGATTAATTTGGACAACATAACTTCTTCCTTCTCTGGGAAGCCTAAGAAATTTAAAAGAAGGTTCTATTTGTCCCTTTTTAGTGTTACAAAAGCACATAAGAAGTTGCCAGAGATTCCCTTCTCTGATATTGCACTTTGTAATGTACTGGGAGAGAAAGTAAAAATAGAGTTATTATTTGTACTATCTTGGGAAGCTGAGCTTATTCTTGTGAGTGCTCCAAAGAGATGGAACAGGGCAGAAAAAGGAAACAAAACAAAGTCTTCAGGGGAGACTTTTGAAGGTGCAGAGCTGGATAGAGATGCACAGTTGTGTTTGTTGTGGTGATGTGCATGTGTGTAGCTGTCAGGCAGTTGCCCAGACCAGTATATGACTTCCATAGAGAGAAAAATAATACCAAGAAGGTGGTGGATAACTTTCTCTTACCCTGTAGATGTTGGTCAGATCTGTTATTTTATACTACTTCTAAATAAAGGATCTGTAAGTTCTTTGTCAGCTTTAGTTAATTAGGTCAAACAAGACTCTTGTGAGTTCTTAAGTCAGCTTAAGAGATCACTGTAACTCACAGGTGGAGCACAGCAGCTATTTTAGCAGTAAAAAAATTCCTCAGAGTTTTAAGATGTGATGGGGGGATGATTTCTGTTGAAATAGCAGATTACTGCGGAGAGACCAAATGTAACTGCCCAATTTAGAATTTGGTCAGATCAATAAATGTAATTTGCTACTTCTCTGCAGAAAGAGCAGAGGGAAGAGTGTGGAATGCGATCTAATCCACTGGGAACAGGTGGAATTCTTTGCCAGCTGAGTTTGAATTCTTTTAAATCTTCTGAAGCTCCTGTTTAGTGTAAAAGTGGGCAAAAGGACGTGGTGCAGTTGGAGCTGGTCTGGGTGTTTATTGTAAGGCTTCCCTGGCTACTGCAGAGTGGCATTAGTTCAGAACTGGCATTTTAAAACAAATGTCCTTTACTGAATCACTGGTGTAGTTTTTAACCTTGTATTGGAGTGTTTTGAGACATTTTTAATTAGTGAGGTGGCATTTACTTCAAAACTGGTGAAACCATAGAAGTGATGTTTAAAAAATAAACAAAACAAAAAACACAGCACCACAAAAAAACAGAAAAGAAAAAACAACCACAAACCATGCAGTGCCTGACTACTACTTCAAAACATCTCCTGTGAAGGTGCAGGGTGGAAATACAGTGCTGATGATATTTCACACACGGTTCTTTGCAGTTAGACTCGTGGAAAGGTACAATATCTGGTCACCTTTCCTCTTTCTGAGCCAGTTTCGAGGTTACCTGCAGACAGGAAGCTCCTTTACATGGTTCTTCAACTGCTGTGAAAAGAATGCTTGAAAGAGTCCTGGAAAGTTGCTTGGCCCGGGTTGATGCTAACAGAAAACTGGAAGTCATCCCTAGTCGTGTGTTCTGTTATTCGATGGCATTATGGAAGTGTTTTGTGTTTTTCATGGTTACAGTGAAGGGTGGATCTTCATGGAGTGCCCAGTAACTTGGCCATGAGTGCAAGTGGCACCTA